CAAGCAAGCAAGCAAGCAAGCACCCAGGTTCATGCTCATGGTTTCCAGAAGACAGTGTGGCAGCGAACGTTGGGACGGCGCAGTGTCTTGCTTGAAGCCTCATCGACCCTGCAGGTGATTACCCCCCAAATATCCCAGTTCCCTGTCTTGGTTCTTTGATTCAAGTTCAAGCCTGAGAACAGGAAGAAGGCCTTTGCAGTACTGCTTAAAAGGCTACATGTGCGTAGTTCGTGAACACGTATACTCTTGTCAGTACGGAACGACCGACTGAAAATGTGGCTGCAGAATGTCATTTGCCTAGCAAAGAGGGCACCCGTGATGCCACATAGTCTGGAGTTTGCAAGCTTTCGTAGCAGGGAGAGGGTACACCCCAGCGCAGACCCACCATCCACAGTTTTCTCCTGAAACTCGGGCTTGGGCCCAAGCCGCAAACTTAAGGGCATATAAATTGACGCTGTATGCTTTGAGGTTTGACGGAAAACAGTTTGCCGTAGACTCTTGGCTAGCGCTGTGCCACACCCCTCACTCCCAAGTAACGGTACTGCTACCAGCAAAACACTTAAATAGCAATGGTGGCAGCACCAGAGAGACTGTGTTTAAGAGCACAAACAACGACAGACATCAAAACCCTGGATGCACGACAACCCTCAACTGGCCCTATATTTAACCTAGAGCCTCAAAGCCCGGAGCACGGCCGCACCCCCAAACAATGACCGCAAAACACCAACCAGACAGTAATCCTGGAACGCTGTAAATCTAAAACACTTTCAGCCCAAAACCACGAACCCCAAAACCCTGAGTTTTTCAGCATTGATACCAAAACTCAGACCCGGAAAAATAAGCGGCGCCGATTAGCGTTCGTACTACAACATATTACAACATGCACCAAAAGCTTGCTCTATTTGCTAAAGCCTCTACATTCAAACCGCTTATAATAACCATTACAGAAGCCCTGACTGGAAAAACTCTAAAAAAGATCTGCGGCGGCCCTTATAGATCTAAAACCGCCCTGAACCTCTGACCCTAAACCCGAGGCAGATGTCCGATGTCAGCCAGGGAGAGGTCGAGAAAGTGGAGATGACCTCTCGGGAGGCAGGGTGTAGGGTCGTTTCGGTTTTAGGACTTGAGGGTCAACATGAACAAAAGCCCTAAGCCCTAAAGCATAAAGCCCTTAAAGGTTTTGGATTTAGGGATTTTGGGGTTTAGGGTGTGGGGTTTCGCACCGTGCACAGGTTTCGGTTGTCAGTGGTTGATCGTGTTTTTTGTCGGTGTTGTGTGAAGGGTTAGGATTTTTTCGGGCTTCGGGTTTGTGCATTTAGGGTTTTAGTTTATGTGTCCGAAATATGGAGAAGTATTCATCAGGGTTGTACAAAAGCTTTGTAGTGGTGTTCCAGGGGCTTTAGTTTATGTAAAGGCTTAACTGGTGACAACATGCACCCCGGGGTTGCGTCTTACTTTTTTCTTTATCTGACCGCGACGACCCAATTAACCCTGGCCCCTACATTGAAGCTTCGGGTTTGGATTCTGCGAGGTTGCAGAGTAAGAGTAGGGATGTGTCGTGTTCAGGCCTGGAGTTAAGTTCGACCATTTCCAAGTCCTCCAAGGCCACAAACACCGAACGTGCCTCAAAACTAGGGGCTTGTTGTCTAAGATTGAGCGTTTCAGTCCTAAACCCTGCGAAGGTAGTTTCACTCTTCGAGACCTCGCTGCCTGCGGCTTTCAGGCTCGATTGAAAATCTGGCAAATAAGAAATATAGTTCAGTTTTTTAGAAAGACAATTTCGAATAATAGAAATTATGAGATATATCAACATATGATGATCTTTAAGACCCGATAGGCAATATCAATAATTAAATATATGAGCGTTGTTCTTTTTGGTGGGTTCTTTTGACAATACTAGGAAGGCGATTGACGAAAACTCGCTTGAAAAGATGCACACCCTTTCGATCGCGCGCAAGGGCGAGCGCAAGCTAAGCTCAAGGCTTGTTGTTATGGTTGAAAAAGAGTGATACTGAGCAGCGTTATAGGTACTCCAAGCCACGTAAAATCAACAAACCACAACCTTCAAACGCACAAGGAACGCGGAAGGGCGAAATGCAAGGGATCTTAATTGGCATACGTAGAATAAGGCTATAGAATAATTCTCATATCTAAATCTATATAATCTGAATTGAAATTATCTTTTAGTCTATTCATATGAAAAAAATCATTATAAATTATTTGAAATATTTTGTCGATATATTTTTCTATCATGAAATATTTTAGATATATATATTTCTTAATGATATTCTCAATTTTTCTAATAGAGAGATTTGGAATTAGTTGGGCATCTAATATTTATGAAAAGGCATCTATTTATTAGATATCATGAGATATCGAGATTCTATATTAATTTCTAAAAATTCGTTTTAAGATTAGATATGAGAATATGAATATATTGATTAATATTTTTCTTAGGTTTTTATTTATATTATATATTAATCGCTTCTATATTCGCCATGAGCTAAGTAAGACGGTTTAATATTTATATAGTATTATTAAAAAATTGAAAAGATATTCTTATCTATTCCTATTTAAATATATTACTCAAAAAAGATTATTTATCTCATAGGTATATT